TGTGTGTGTGTGTGTGTGTATGTATATATTTATGGGTGATATTTGTGGGTGTGTTTATGTATTTATATATGTATGTATGTGTGTGTGTGCATTATACCTATATATATATATGTATATGTATAATCTATATATATTAATATTATTTGTTCGCAAATTCAGTTTTCACTTTTGTTTCCATCACACTAAAATCATAACTTTGGCAGAGCATAAAAGAATCTCTCCGTGAATTCTAATGCAACAAGCCTCAACCCCTCTTGGCTCTCGGCTACTAAGTCAAAGAACAAGACAAAAATTCGCTAGCAAATATCGATTACACGCGCCATTGGCCATCACGTAAATATTTGGATAATGATGTTCTTATTAGCATTTCCAATACGATTACCCCTTATTTCTTCCATCGTGACAAATTACCTTGGAAGCGTATCAAACACTATGATTTTGAACGGATATATATGTTTATATTCTCGCAGTACTCGCACGTGACTCTACTTGGCAATTTGGTTTCAGCAACTTATGAAATTTATATGCGAGACCAAACATTCTTCGGTCAAAGTAATCACCGCTCACAAATTTCCTTGCCAATCCGCATCTAATTTCGGTTGGTGGCCTTGTACTTTCGACGAGACGCGTGTAGCACTGGTTCCGTGTATCCATTGCTGACCTCTCTACCTTTGAATACAAGTTGCAAGGCTCCTTGGAATGCGATATTGTCTTCAAATGTACCTACCATAGCCTTGTATGCAGGGTCGGAAGAGTTTTGCTCGTCAACGACGGCTGCCATCTTTTCAAAGGCTGACTTGATCTGTATGTTGAAAGCAATGAGTCCTTTAAGCAAACTGCACACCCGATTTGGTGCATAATTCAACTTACGTTGACACATTGGATTGATCTTTAAGAAGAAGGTACAAATACAAAGATAAAACATGACTATGACGCATTGTCAAAGTACGCGACAAAGGTACAAATATAAAGATAAAACATGACTATGACGCAATATCAAAGTAAGAGACAAGCTTCATCGAAATTCAAAACGGGGCGAACATAGCCTCCTAGCTTGAACAGGGCGGAAAAAATCGGTACACCGGCTAGGAAAATGAGATTGTCTGAAACTGCGTGCATACACAAGTACATGTGGCCATACCTGATCCTTGGTTATGATCTCGTGGTGCAGCCAATTGGCTAGATGCTGCGATGAGATACGCAAAGTCGCCCGATCTTCCATCAGACCTATGTTATGAATATCAGGTACCTTTGAGCACCCAACACCCATGTCAATCCATCGCACAACGTAACCCAGGATACTCTGGGCCATAGCCTCCAAGTCTTTCTGCACATCCTCGGGATTCAGGTCAGCTCTGTCCGTGAGAGGTGGGGTCAGAATATCATCCAGCGGTGCACGCAAGCGGCTTTTGAGCGCCTCTTGGGTCTCCTGCACGTTCACTCTGTGGTAGTGTGTGACGTGCAGAGACGCAGCAATAGGGGACGGTACCCACGAGGTATTCGCGCCCTGCTTCAAGTGACCAATCTTCTGCTCCAGCATCTCGGCCATGGAGTCGGGTGCGGCCCACATCCCCTTGCCAATCTGGGCTGTACCGACCAAACCAGCGGCAATACCGCAGTCTACGTTCCAAGCTTCGTAGGCAGGCAACCACTTCACCTTGCGCAGATTCTTAAGCGCTACAACGGGTCCGGCCTCGATACTCGTGTGGATCTCATCACCCATACGGTCGAGGAAACCAGTGTTGATGAATACAATTCGCTCCTTAGCTTCACGAATGCACTCGTACAAGTTAATAGTGGTACGCCTTTCCTCGTCCATAACGCCAATCTTCACGGTGTTCTTGGGCAAGTCCAGTGCTTGCTCTACGGCAGTGAATAGCTCGCACGTGAATGCGACTTCCTCAGGTCCGTGTTGTTTAGGCTTAACAATGTATACAGATCCGTTGACACTATTGGCGTACTTTCCGTTGCCCTTCACATCGTGGATGGCGGCCAGGATGGTTACAAACGCATCCAAGAATCCTTCAGGAATGTCATCGCCACCTGCGGTGGTTACCGCGTCGGTGTACATATGCATACCTACGTTACGCACGAGCAGCAAGGAGCGTCCTTTCAGAGAAACATCCTCCGATCCTCCGGGGCTTTTGAAAACACGATCAGAGTTCTGCACGCGCTCAAGCGTCTTACCACCCTTCTGGAATGAGGCGCTCAGTGTGCCCCTCATGAGCCCAGTCCAGTTTTTGTACACAGCAACCTTGTCCTCTGCGTCAACGGCTGTGACCGAATCCTCGCAATCCATGATAGCCGTGATGGCGGACTCGATCTGGATGTCATTGATATGTGCATGATGCTCAGCTCCGACCGCACCGTCAGCGTTGAACTTCAACTCCATGTGCAGGTTATTGTTCTTGATCAGCACGGAAGTGGGCTTGGCGGCGTCTCCAAGGTATCCCGCGAAAACACTATCTTCCTTAGGCGCCACCTTCTTACCGTCGGTTAATTCAATACATAGCTTCTCGGATTCAACGGAGAAAGCCTTAGTCTGAGCCCAGGAAGCACCATCTGCCAACGGCATGACCTCATCCAGAAGGTTATCTACCCATTCGAATACCTTCAGTGCGCGCCTGGGGTTAAACCCACCGGCCTTTTGCGCTCCGCCAGTCTCAGACACGGCGTTTGTGCCATATAAACCATCGAACAAAGACTGCCAGCGGCCATTGCAAGCATTCAGAGCATATCTATCAAAATACAAGAAAGCTATGGTGAACACTACAGCTTGAATACATCATGCACGAGCGACCCAATAGACACTGTGTGCAAATTGAGTAGTTGACGACTTCGCTCCAGAAGTGTAATATTGTATCGCGCCTGCCAATTGCTATTAGATATGGTTATGGCAGATATGAGCTCTATGAGAAGCTGACCAGCGCAATCTGCGATAGTAAGTTATCAAATTATTCGAGACGCTGTGCGCAATTATGATTTTTGGTACAGAGCGTTGGTGGACAGTATGGTATACTAGGTACCTTTTCGGCTAGGGAAGAACATTTTGTTGTGATCTAGTCTTGTCTATATTCAAACTAGTCACCCCACAACAAGTACTTACAATAAATCAAAACTCGTAAATATCCCTTAATATATATATTTAGTGTCGCAGATAAACAACTTGGGCTACTTCATAGAAATAACTGGCACCCCACTCAAAGAACAGCGCAGAACCCACATGCGTACACACCTATACATAATTTTGCGATTCAAAACATACCTAGCGTTGTTGATTGGTACAACCAGCTGAGGGCCGGCGATAGAAGCGATCTCAGGGTCGACATTCGAGGTGGTTACCTTAAATGCCTCGCCTTCTGGAAGCAAGTAGCCAATGTCCATCAGATACTGCTTGTATTCGGCAGCATCATACTCCTGACCCTTGCGAGCAAGGTGCCATTCGTCGATCTGTTTCTGTAAACTATCGCGCTTCTTCAGAAGCTCCTCATTGCGGGGTGCCATCTTGCTTACAACATTGGATAAACATTCCCAGAAGTGCGCAACGTCTACACCTGTGTTAGGAGCCACTTCATTTTCTACGAATTGGTATAGGCCTCTGTTTACCCTCAATGAAGCTACGTTCACGTAGTCGCCTTTGGGATCCTGTAAAGTCATCTTGTTGGTGGTTGTGTGTGAAAACTGTCGTGTTTGGGCACTCCGTTTAGGGTACAAACTTTTGATTGCTAGATTGCTATGTAATAACTGCGGACAGGTTGGCGAGTAAGTCGCTATACTACCCTGGCTGATACCGAATATGCCTCTACAGACCTTGTGCCGCAACATATTTATTGCAGTCTATATAAACAAATATTTGGATTTATTGCTTTGGGCTTTTTCCAATTATAATCTTTGGTTGTTTACACTTTCCTTTCATCAGCCTGTCAGACTACTGCACAAGGTAAAGTTCTGCTTCAGAATCACTGAATCAGGACTCAGGATTTCCGAATCCAAGCCTCCAGGCTCCAAGGCGGTCCTTTCAACTCCTCCGCAATGTGATGATATTATAAACTGATGATGACTCTCGTGTGACTCGTGAGATTCGAGAACATAGATTTGAGAAACCTCAGAGTTTCTGACAGGTGGACTCGGCAGAATTGTTGACATCATCAGTGATCTTTCAGACTTCTTTTTTTGACAGTATAGACACCAACTCCTGAAATATAGAAACACTTTATTTTGAACTGAGCACTGGGGGGGAGGCACCGGGAGTTCGACCACCGGACTGAAAGAAAATCCTTGCATTCTCTAATCTCTACCGAGGTCTGAGGGTAGAAACCCTATATATAAAAAGGACTATAATTTTAAATTAGATTCTGAGTCATAGACATTTTTAGCCTCCTAAAAAAAGTAAAAATAGGACATAGGAGCCAGTCTCTCTATAAAATAGAGTAGAGAGAGAGAGGAGGCTATGATTCTGGATTCAGCCTTCGTCTCCTTTGTTCCGCCGTGGAATCGTGAATGCGCAGACATTGCCATTTTATTACCAAATATAAGTAAATAAATACAATGGCAATGTGACCTACTTCGACTTTTATGTGATGATGATGACTAAAGGGGCATAATATAATATATTCATTTTTTTAAATCAGATCGGCATCCTCTCTCTCTCTCTCTCTATAGACTCTTATTAGGACTTAGGAGTCTTATTAGAATTTGTTGATTTGTTGTGAATCATTGGACTCAACGGACTGACGGAGGCTATGTTTGTTTTTATAGAACGCACCTTTTAAGTCCCTTTAACCCAACTAGTCGTCTTTGAAAAGACAACAACAAGAGCAACGTTATTTATTTACAACAATCGGTGTGGTTATCCGTTATACCTAACAAGAAAACCACTGTTGGCACTGTAATTGATTCGTGAACCATGGGTGATGGAACTCGGAGGCTGTGTTTGTTTCAATTGAACGTACGTTTTAAAGGCCTTGTCATCTTGAAGGCTTAACCCTACTAAAAGTCACAACAACAAGAGCAACGTTGCAACAATCGGTATGGTTATACCTGCCCAAGACCACTGTAATTGATTTGTGAACCATTGAACTCGGAGGCTATGTTTGTTTTATTGAACGTACCTTTTAAGTCCTTAACCCTACTAATCTTAACAACAACAAGAGCAACGTTGCAACAATCGGTATGGTCACACCCAAGACCACTGTAATCGCTATAGGAAAACTATGATACACCTCAGGTAAGAATTTCGAATCCGGCTTAACGGTGTCGAATAAAGGCGCCCAGTCGTAGTAGTTCTGTTCACTCCCGTTCGTACTCGTGCGCTGAGAGTACTTCGTCGGCATCAAAGGTAACATCGTCTTCGAATCCACGTCCAGTGTTAATCGTGTTATGTCTTCACGAGACAGTGCCGCGAGACATAAATCGGCCAAGGCTAGACGAGGCAGCCCGTTTATTCCATTCATAGTGTCCCCTTGCTGTATCTGTTTGTACGAGATTATTTGCACGCAAATTTGCGATTGACCATAAAGTATGAAAGTCCCGACACTCACAGTCTATCACAGGTTGGTTTGAAACAAACTTCAGAACTTAATAATAAAAATACAGTCTTTTTTCTTCAGCGTTCAGTAAAACTCATGAGCTTACACTTATTGTCATAAAGAATATCTCATCATAAATACAAATATACCTTTATTTGCGCGGGATCGGATACATCAGCATTTACTAATCTCCCGGGTCTCACTATCGTATATGATAAGTTCTGTTGGGAGCAAGCAAGAAATGGACGTGAAGCAACAGTAGCATAGTTACAATATTATCTGAAACGGCAACTAGGAAAAGGCGCTTCGCGAGAGAAATATAGTGCGGGCTATTCCATGACAGTCACAACCAGATAAACCGAGTTGATCGCACCCGAGCAACTGAGTTGGGGGAAATGGACAGGCAGTAACGACAAGTGAAAAGAAGAAAACAGTTGCAGCTACCTTAGCCCGAACAGCCCTTTCCCCTTCCACTTTGTACTTGAGTACCATAGACAGTATTGCGTTGTGTAGAAATGACACCGGATGCCACGGTCGCAGCACTCCCGCGGATGAGATAACTACCAGTCGATTAATGGTCCCCACCCGCTCACAACCACCCGCAATCCTATAGAAAGTTAGAAAAAAGAAACGTGTTGTTATCTTGCCTGGTAACAATATTCCTGTGGAATATATACATACAAATATATGTATGTATGTATATACATATATATATATATATATATATATTATGTATGTGTGTATATATATATATATACATATAAATATATATATATATATAGATATATATAGTATATA